ACTAACTTGAAGTGAAATCTTGTTTAGAATCGTTGTAATTAGAAACAAAATGAAACGAAAAATCGACACTAAAAAGAGACAAACATATACAGTAATTATCCTACGAGAGAATGAGATAGAATACAGCATTGAAGAACAGACGCTTGCTCGGAACTTACTTAAAGTGAAAGCTTCTTTAGAATCGTTGTAATTTGAAACAAGATGTAACGAAAAAATCGACACTAAAAAGAGACAAATATATATAGTAATTATCCTGCGAGAGAATGAGGTAGAATACAGTATTAAAGAACAGACGCTTGTATGGAACTTATTTAAAGTGAAAGCTTCTTTAGAATCGTTGTGATTTGAAACTAGATGTAACGAAAAAGCGACACTAAAAAGAGACAAATATATACAGTATTTATCCTACGAGAGAATGAGATAGAATACAGTATTGAATAACAGACGCTTGCCCGGAACTTATTTGAAGTGAAAGCTTCTTTATAATCGTTGTGTTTTGAAACTCGATAAAACGAAAAAGCACAAGATCACTAAAAAGAGACTAACATATACATTTATAGGATTTAGCCTGCGAGAGAATGAGATAGAATACAGTATACAGTGTTTCCTATTATCTCGGTCTCCTTTTATAATAAAATGCACATATGTTTTTTTATGTAAAGATGACGGAAGATGTAAAATAACCAGCCTAGTGAGAGGCAACGAGAATAGGCCGGGCATCTGTTAATCCGATTGTTAATCCTAAGTTGCTTATGATTAATAACCGCAGACGGCGGTTAATTATACCTTTGCACAGCATTGAATTATTTATGCTAATTATAAATTTAAGATTTACGAGGGCGGCACCGAAAATTTCAGGAATCAAGGAAGTGACACAACATTACTATTTAAAAAAGTAGTTATTGCTTTTCGAAGTATTTTCTATTTGACATATTTTTCCATACGATGGAACCAATCATTGAAGCAACCATTCCATTCGGAAGTTGGGGTCTCCAAAATGGCCGTTTTGTAGGCGTCCACAGCTTCTTCAGGTGATGAAAATCTCTGTCCACGAAATTTATTCTTTATTTTAGGGAAAGTATAGAAATAATTAGGGCTTAGGTCGGGGCTGTACGGCGGATGGTCTAATAATTCTATGTTTTCTTGCTCTAAAAACTCTTTTGTTTGCAACACTCCGTGAACGAACAATTTTTGTTGGCTTTAACTCATTTTCGAACACCCAAACTCGTGACTGGTTTTTTGTTTCGGGTTCGTACGCATATAGCCAGGATTCGTTACCTGATAAGATGTTGTGTACAGCATTTTCGGATCCTGCGTGGAATCTTTCGAGAGTTCTGACGCACCAAGTAACGCGAGCCGCTTTTTGTTCTTCACAGAGCGAATGCGGTATCAATCGGGAAAACAACTTTTTTACACCTAATTGTTCATGCAAGATTATTTGTATTTAACTCATAACAATGTCTAAAGTTTCGCGGTATGTCACATGTCGATCTTCCTCAATCAGCTTACGCACAGCATCAACGTGTTCTTGGGTGACTGCAGTTTTTGGACGACCTTGACGGGGATCATCACTGAGCTTGACACATCCACATTGAAATGCAGCAAACCAGCGATAAATTGTGTTTTTGGATGGGGCTTCATCACCAAATGCAGAAATCATCCGGTCAACACACTGTTTTTGTGTTAAACCACTTCGAAAGTCATAATAAATCATCGCTCTTGAATTTTCTCGAGTCAATTCTATTTTCTCAACGACTAAACAAGTTTGACAAAACCTTGTGACAAGACCGAGAATCTTTTTTTAAAATAAATAAATGGTATTCGATTTTTAAAACCAAGGAGTTTTCAATTAAAAAGATTTTAATATGATAGGAACAGTGCAAATATTCCATTCCCGATACTATTAGTGCAGCCTAGTACGTACACAATAGCTTTTACCCTCGACTTCATCTGCGTAGAACTTAACAAAAAACTTGCAGAAATATTATAGTGGTCTTTGCTTCTCTCTTGTCTTTGCTTTTTTTAATTTTGGAAGTATGTAATTCAATTATCGAAAAACCAAATGTTAAAAAATGTTGCAAATCGATTTTGTATCAAAACTTTTAGAGATAAAAAACAAAGAGTGGGCACCTTTTCTTGTAAAAATGCAAACCAAAAAAGTTTTGTCCGAAACTTTTCTAATATCTTCTATGCTGGGGCCACACTAACGAGAAATGTCGTTAATTATTGTGTTGATGAACGTTGAAGTAGGTGTAGCCACGACCTAAGGCGTTAATTTGGCAACGGAATTAACAATGCCGTTTGCCGTTTGGCGATATCTCGAGTGGCGGTACATCAAAGAGATTAACGCACGAAATAACGCGTTAAAGCGGCCACTTTACGTTTGTCTCATTGTGTACCGTGCACGCTGAGCGCAACGGGGTTGCATGTGTGACTATGATGGAGTGGAATAATGAAAAAATTAATACGTTTCTTGAGATTCTGCAAGCAGATCCACGTTGTCCATGTGGGATCCGAGACTCAAAAGTTTTAAAAATCGTACATAATATACAATTATGCAATTATTACCTTTTAAAACAACTATCGAAGAAATTAAAAATAAGAAGTAAAGCCTAATGGGTTTTGATAACCCATGTAAACAAAAATAAAAGTCTTCAAAGAATATATACGTTAACTTTAACGCCGTTCAATGGCATTGAAATTGAAATGACGTTGACCGTTCAAGTGTAGCCACTCACTTTATCGCGTTAAATTTAAAGCAATAATTGTTGCGTTTATGGGCATTGACGTTTCCTGGTAGTCCTGTAGGTTCCCGGTGGTCAACCATTTATTTTATCAGTTTTTCGATTTCACAATAAAAAGCATGCATTTTCGCATAGTATATAATATATAATTTCTTTTTTCTTTATCTGTTCATGAAGTTTCATTAAAAATGGTTCAGCCATTCTGAAGAATATCTCAGAAAGACAGAGAGATATAATTTCTAAATATATTTTATTTTCATCACGTATAAGTTATTCACGTCTTAACAGCATGCAAATGAACTCCCGCTTAGTAAAAGCCAGCTATTTCAATATTAAAGACAGACACTTTAATTTTATTTATATGTATATATGAATAATTTATGTAGATTTCTATTTTCTGTTTAAGTTGTAAGTTGCAACTGCAAAATATCTCCGTTTATTAGCTAAACTACTTTTAACAGTAATAAAAACTCTCCCTCCTGTTAAAAACACTTCATTTTGACCCGTGAACTTTGCAAAAGATTTGAGACTGCCACAATTTACCACTGCTATAAGTTTTAAAGGTTGCGTGCTCTTTTGGGAAACTTTTGCGAGTTTACGCTTGATGGAGCCCTTTCTTAACAATAAACCCTTGTGCAATCTTTACTCGCTTCCGTTCTAAGGCTTATTTTTTTTTTTAGTTAAAAGATAAGGATTTAATGGCGCGACAAAGTGGAAGTTTTGTGACTTAATTATCTATACATAGAAATAAAATTGAAATGTCTGTCTGTAATGTTGAAGTAACTGGGTTCTATTAAGGTCAGGTGGTTATCAGTTATCACAGTTGAGCACACAGTCCACCTGATGGTAAATGGATGCTGTGGCCCATAGACCTATCTGCGATTAAGGATCAATATGCAGATGCTTCGTCACTCAATGCCAACCTAATACCAGCATTATTGCTATTTTACGCTGATATTCTGTGAGAGCGTGGTCCTTCCCCGGTCGAGCCGACCCTAATGCTACAAATATATAGCTGCAACATGGCTCTACAACTTTATACAAATTAAGATATAAATAACCATTTTGGGCTAATTATTTTTAATTTAAATATCGCCAAAATTAACAGATTCTATCCAAGGGAAGCCAGGGCGTATCGAAGTAGTAGTAAATAAATACGTAGTACAACGGAATAAATAATAGTACTACGTGGAGAAGTGGCACTCCTTTAATGTTGACTGTTTGCCGACGTTTAATAGCCTACATAGTTATTATTAATTAAATCAAACGCAAGCTAAATAAAACTTTATCACTGAGCACGAGTGTCCTTATTACTTTACATCTTTTCCCCTTCTTATGTCTATTATATATATGGCGGACTTTCTGTGGTTACTAAGGGATGTCAAGAAAGAGTAAGAAAATACATTACAAATTTGTGTTATACTATAATTTTCACTAATTCGTTCATTGAATTAAGGCCATCAAAGTGCACTGCTGGCCATGAGTAGATGAATAATAGGATGTTTGGCAAAGTTGCCACAGTTAGGTTAGGGAGAAATATCTTCATAAATAGGGCTATTAGTATCAATTTTCCTAAATATTATAATAACAACAGTTACAGTCTATATAAGTCCACTGATGAACATTGGCCATCCCCATAGATTGCATCATAAGGGGCATATTTGTCATAGTTGCCGCCATAGGCAAGCGGAGCAAGTCGGATGATATGAGGTATTGGATATTATGATAACAGTTTTCTTTAAATATTTTTTTAATAAATTTTGTGTTGGAGAACCTAATTAAAGAGAGTACTAGTAGTGATCTCTCTCTCTCTCTCTCTCTCTCTTTATATATATATATATATAATCTCTCTCTTTATATATATATATATATAACTTCTTCTTTAAACTTCTTTAGGTAAATAAAGTATTTTGAGTTACTGCTAAACCTATTTACTTATTTTGCTGAGCGATGTCAATGATAATTATAATATCAAATATCTTATCACCAGAATACCAGCCTAAAATTGCAATTAATACTGCTGTGTTTCGTATGGTGAGTGTAGAGAACCGAAGACCCTACTGGAAACAAGGTATTTCATCTTAGTCCTCAGGGGTGTCAACACATATTCATTTTGATTCTTAATCGAGGATAGATAGATGCCTATGGGTCACAGTATCCGCTTACCACCAGGTGGACTGTGTACTTGTTTGTCACCCTTATAACATTAAAAAAGCTACCACATATAAACTTAATAATGATGTGAAATGAACTTACCTGTGACGGTGACTTGTCTGGCAGCGGCTGATTTGTGTCAGCATACTCGATCCCTGCGTTCAGTGATGAGCCTGCTGCAAATATAATTCAAAAATTAGAACTTTTACATAATTAAGTGTCACAATCGCCGAGTGGTAGCAGCAGGCTGTTTCTTCCCGTGGGTGTGGGGGTGTGGTAATCATCATCACCATTACACGTCCACACCCATCACAAGTCCACTTCTGAACAAGAACTTCACTCATATGTTGCCAAGTTAAAAAACTTTATTAAACAAAATTTGAATGAAAAGGGTTATTATAATATAAAGGAATTTATGGGTGATAATAACCCCTGGGAATGAGATTATCGCTACCACGCTGTGTTGTGAAAGATATATGATTATTATCTGTTCTTTCTTTAAAAAAATCCCGCTGCGTTACTTGGTGAATCTTCGCAGGACAGAGGTATTTTCCAAACCAGTTGTAAATACACTCTTATGTTGAAGAGTAAATTTTGATAAGAATTACTTAATTTAGATATAGATACTTATATATTGAATAAAAAAGTTTTTTATTTCTATTGCGTTATAGGTTGGATACCTATTTGGCATAGTTGCCACGCTTGGAAAGAGGGTAGACAAACATACTTTTTTTTAAATTAATATTGAGTTGTTATAATAAAGTTGTTGTTGCCGTGTAGTGGCGGTTGAGAATATCCACTACCCCATATCTTCCCGTGGGTGTCGTAAGAGGCGACAGAGGGACACAGAAAGGAGACGGGCAGCAGCATCTTCCTAATAACAACAATAATATAATAAAAAAACTGCGGTTGCCAACCCGCTCGCCAAGGGTGGCAACTATGGCAAGGCATGCCCATGAGCAACGACGCAAATAAACGGCCCCCAGTTCCCGGCGGCCCCGCTATTCCTGGCTACGGTGGCGACCATGGTAACGGCGGGGCAGGGGGTGCTAAGAATCTCCCGTGGAGGTTCGGTTGCCACCTACGACGTTTCGACCCGGCAACGTATAACGCACGCACCCTGAGGACTGACGAGAAGATACTGGAGCTGGAAGAAGAGGTAGACAAGTTGTGCTGGCATATTATTGGATTATCTGAGGTCCGAAGAGAGGGGGAGGACACGGTAATCCTCGAGTCCGGCAACTTGTTCTATCACCGGGAGGGCGACCATCTGTCCCAAGGAGGTGTCGGATTTATCGTCCACAAGTCTCTCGTCAACAACGTTGTAAAGATTGAGAGTGTGTCCACGAGGGTCGCGCACCTGATACTCAGAATCACCAAACGGTATTCGCTGAAGGTCATACAGGTCTACGCACCAACCTCGGCACATCCCGATGAGGAGGTGGAGGAAATGTATGAGGATATTTCTAGAGCCATGCATTCCTCAAAACCCACTACACGGTGTTGATGGGAGACTTCAACGCAAAACTAGGCACAAGAGAAGGCGGTGAGCTGAAGTTAGGGAAATTTGGAGTAGGGCAACGGAACCGTAGGGGCCAGCAGCTGGCTGACTTTATGGAGAAAGAGGGACTTTTTATGATGAACTCTTTCTTCCAGAAGCGGCCCCACAGGAAAGTGGACCTGGTCGAGCCCTGACGGTTCAATAAAAAATGAGATTGACTTTACTATGACGACCAGACGCCAACTGTTCAGTGATGTCTCAGTGATCGCAAGGGTGAAAACCGGCAGCGATCACCGAATGGTTAGAGGCACACTGAACCTAAACGTTAAGTCGGAGAGGTCTCGTCTAATGAAGTCAACGCTCCGTCCCCCTCGTGCTCTGATCCAGAATCCCGAGACTTTTCAGCTCGAGTTACGTAACCGCTTTCAGTGCCTAGAAGATTGCAATGCAGTGGACGATATGAATGACAAGCTCGTGGAAACTGTCCATGCGGTCGGAGCTAAGTTCTACAAGACCCGCCGCAGAAGAACACAAAAACTCTCCGATCACACTCTTAATCTCATGGCTGTTAGACGAGAGATGAGGCTGCAATCGTCAACAGATTTGACAGCATACAGGCAACTGAACAGACAGATCTCCAAATGCATGCGGCGAGACTTACGCAACTTTAATACTGCTCGTATTAAAGAAGCGATCGAGCGGAACCAGGGCTCCAAAGTCTCTGCCAGAGATCTGTCTGCCAGAAAGAGCCAACTGTCAAAGCTGAAGACTGAGTGTGGCAGCATCGTTTCCGAGACACCTGAGATTTTGAGTGAGATTGAGAGGTTCTATGGGCAGCTGTACACATCATCGTTGGAAGCCACACGCAAGTGTGAGTAACGATCCAAGAGCAAATCTTACCCGACACTATTCCGATGATATCCCGGACGTCAGTCTGAGCGAGAATAGAATGGCTCTCCAGCACCTTAAAAACGGCAGGGCCCAAGGCGAGGATGGAATTACAGCGGAGCTTCTGAAAGCGGGTGGAACACCGGTACTTGAAGTCCTTCAGAGGCTTTTCAATTCCGTCCTCCATGGTGGCACTACTCCGGAGGCGTGGAGCAGAAGTGCGGTGGTCTTGTTCTTTAAGAAAGGCGACAACGCTCTCTTGAAGAACTACAGACCGATTTCCCTTCTGAGGCGCGTCTACGTGCTGTTTTCGAGAGTCATTACAAATCGTCTCGCACGTAGACTCGACGACTTCCAGCCTCCCGAACAAGCCGGTTTCCGAAAAGGCTTCAGTACCATGGACCACATACATACCCTGCTGCAGATTGTACAGAAGACCGCAGAGTACAATCTGCCACTTTGCCTGGCGTATGTGGACTATGAGAAAGCCTTTTGATTCCGTCGAAATTTCCCTTCAGCGGTGCCAAGTTGACTGTCGGTGTATCGAAGTGGTGAAGTGTTTGTACAGTAGGGCTACGGTGGCTATCCGAGTACAGAATCAGAGCACGAAACCTATCCAACTGCAGAGGGGTGTAAGACAGGGTGACGTTATATCTCCGAAACTCTTCACCGCTGCATTGGAAGACGTTTTCAAGCTACTGGACTGGAAAGGATACGGTATTAACATCAATGGCGAGTATATCACTCACCTTCGACTTGCCGACGATATAGTCCTTATGGCAGAATCGCTGGAGGACCTTAGCACTATGCTCAATGACCTCAATGGTGTCTCCCAACGGATAGGTCTTAAGATGAACATGGACAAAACAAAAATCATGTTTAATGTCCATGTCTCACCTATGCCGGTAGTTGTTGGGGAGCACTATGCTCGAAGTTGTTGACGAGTACGTTTACCTGGGACAAATAGTCCGACTAGGTAAGTCCAACTTCGACCGAGAGGTCAATCGACGGATTCAACTCGGCTGGGCAGCGTTCGGGAAATTACGACACATCTTCTCGTCAGGTGTAACTCAATCTCTGAAAACTAAAGTGTACAACCAGTGCGTGTTGCCAGTGATGACTTACGGATCAGAGACGTGGTCCTTCACTGCTGGCCGTATGAGGACGCTAAAGGTCGCTCAGCGAGCTATGGACAGGGCTATGGTCGGAGTTTCTCTGCGTGATAGACTCAGAAATGAGGATATCCGCAGTAAAACCAGAGTGACCGACATAGCCCAACGGATTAGTAAGCTGAAGTGGCAATGGGCCGGCCATGTAGCTCGAAGAACCGATAACCGATGGGGAAGAAAGGTTCTCGAGTGGCAGCCTCGTACCGGTAGGCGTAGTGTAGGGCGACCCGACTAGATGGAGTGACGACCTGGTAAGACATGCAGGAAGTCAAAGCAGCTCAGGACCGTGCTTTGTGGCATTACTTGGGGGAGGCCTATGTTCAGCAGTGGACTTGTGAAGGGCTGTAATGATGATGATGATGAATAAAGTTGTTGCTGCTCATATACTGTTTCAGATTTCTTCTGTCTGAGAAATGAATTCTCGACAGTTAATAGAATATATATATTTTGCGGAAATCCATGATATTAAAGTTGTTTAAAAATAATAAGCTAAGATCCACGTAATACAAAAAAGATGTGTCTCACCTTGTTTAAAGAGCACCTTCCACTTCCCCTCCCCCGTAATTACGTGTACTATCCCCGTCACCATTAATCCCAATACAAATACATTAGGAATTTTTAAATGAGGCATCTCTGGGTTAATTAGTCTCTGCGAAGTCTGACCGCTAAGTAAAGTTTGTAATTGAGGGAGGGCGGGAGGTGCTTTTCAAACTAGGTAAGACAATCTTTTTATTTTATTACGTCGGACTTAGCTCATTCATTTTAAAGTCTTTAATAAATTAAAAAAAAATAGCAAACTGTTTCATTCGCCATGCGTACAGCAAAAGAGTTTATTAAGTTGCCAGCATCTGTCTTTCGATCCGACTACAATACGGGTGTCTTCAAGGTAAGAGTGAATGGGCTTTTGTTAAGTCAATGCGTTTCACCATCATCGTCTGCATCCGCAATTACCATCAGGTGTGATTGTAGTTAAGCGCTGGCTTTGAAAAAAAATTACGTACACTGCCACTACACGGCACAGCGTTAGAGCTCGGTAGAAGTTTTAATTTGAACTTCATTTTTACCTTTGATCACAATTTATACAGATAAGACCACATACTCAAGAACTGCAGTTTATGCGTTGACCGAGCATTGTCCCAGTTTTAAAACTATAATAACAGTCATAAATTTTGTTGCCAAAAACTTATCGTTCATATTTTAAACTTGAATCAATTTCTGTCAAAGGCATAATAAATGAACCTCAATCGTAAATTCAATGGGATATATTATTAGAGCTATAGAAGAGTGGAGTTTTCCAACATATATAAATAATTTTTCCGGGTCTAGTTGTTTGTCTACAAGCAATTTATGTAAGTAAAAATACCTCTAAGATAAATGAGAAATCATTGACATTGGGTGCGTTTGGCAGAAAAAAGCGCTAGCAAGCGCTTGTAAGCAAAATGGCGATCGTAAGCGGTAAGCGCTGTCAAATCGTAAGTAGCTATTTTCCTCTAGGACACGATGTTAGTTTTAACCGGGGAACCTAACCCAATTTAAATACATGTTTGTGAAGTATTCATATTAAAAACTTACCAATCATGAATTTTTAATAACATGTATATGTCTATTCATGACATTATATTACTTAAAACTAATATTGCAAAAAACAACTTATAAACTCTACTTCAAAACAAACAAATTAAATAAGCAAAATGGCGGATTGTGTCAGCGCTACTGAAGTAGCAATCGTGTCCTGGCCGAAAACTATTTTAGCGCTTGCTAGCGCTTTTTTCTGCCAAACGCACCCATTGAAAAAGAGATTTTGATACAAAATACGTTGCTAGGGTTGTCTGTCCTTCGAGCTATATATTTACACTACTAGACGTCAACTTCTTATCCACGTGCTTTTTCTTAACGGTAATAATATGAAGGAAAAGAAACCAAGTTACCTGTAGACAGCTCTGGTGCCCGCTTTTTCAAGCCAGCGTTCTCCTCCCTTTTCTCTGTTTTCAAAGAAGTATTTTTGTCGAATTCTGCTTGACTGGACACTACTAGCAGAAGAAGACAGACCTGCGAATTGTTTTATTGTTATATATGTATTCTATGTTTTAGAGGCCATGGTCCGGGATAAAGCGGTTGCAAAACAGGTTTGCGAGCAACCCAGGTTCGGACTCCGCCGAATGAAATTGTTAATTGCAATTTTAAGTACTGATTTACCACTTGTTCGGTGGTTAAGAAAACTTTGTGAAGAAACCTCGATGTCAGAAAATTTAAAATACTTGGAAAACATTTATCCGCCCACTCGTATCAGGGCAGGGCGGAAGATATCTCCTTGCCCTAAATTCCACTCAGAAATTAGGGACCTGTGTCCCGCAATAGGACTTATATTGGCTTTAACATTACTTTACTTTTGCTTAAAAAACTATCTATAATTTTTCATATTTAAAAAAAATACTGGCAAAGCTATTAACAGATAAGCATAAAATGCTTGTATTAGGACTGGTTAACGACAATAGTCGGAAGGTGGATTCGAACCCACGACCTTTGAGTTTGCGGTCCGAACCCCACCATTAGGCTACTGTCGCTTCTAACTAATAGGTAGCTAGTTACTCATACGTTAGAAAAATACAATTTGTTTTAAATGAAATACTATTTAAGTCATTATCATCATTTGAATCTCTCACAAGCCCACTGTTTAACATAGGCCACCCTCTAAGGATATTGCAAACCACGTTCCTGAGCCACCTGCATCTTGCCAGTCTTATCAGTCGTTATTCCATCTAGAGGGGAGCATTACTTTCGCTTACCGCTGGGAGATTGCCACCGAGAACCTTTCTTTCTCATCGGTTCTCGGTTCTTCCAGCTATAAACTGTCTAAAGCGGCAAATCAACACGACCGCAGAGCGATCATACGAAGGACCTATGACTTTATGTGGTTTCAGAGCATGGCGGTGGAACACTGCCAACTTTCTAACTCCAGGCTGCTAATGAGAGTTTCTTAGCAGAAAAACCCAATAACTGATTTTGGCGCGACCCAGAACTTAAGCCCAAGACTTCAAGGTTAGTAATCACCTGACTCCCAGGACCCAGGACTTTACGATTAGCAAACCCCGACCACTAAACCAACTACGAGGCAGTGTAATAAAAGTAAGTTGGCAGCTTATATTTCATTTGATTTCATAGATGGGCACAAGCCTCATCTCTTTCTCAAAGTTATGAAGAATGAAAAAGTCTGTTACGCTGCTCAAGGGCGCAAGAGCGCATCCACGACTTTTTATACCACCAGGACTGTGCTACTTAGGAGTGAGATGTAATATTTGACAGATTTGATATCGGGGGAAGTAAATTTGTTGGGAAAACGTAAGAGTTAATATTCGTTTATGAAATATTAGTTATATTTTATACTGATTAGATTAGAAATGGATAAACCAAACTACGAATATTGCTTAAAGTAGAAACATTAGAAAAAAAGAGTCAAAACGGTGCAAAATTTTGAAGAGAAAACCACTGAGACATTGTTTTGTGTATTCACACGCTATAGAAACTGAGAAACTTTGATTTAAAATGCGATTTCTCAATATAATGAATTGTGTAACAAAAAAAAATTCACCTGACTCCCAACTAGTAGAGAGTAGAGTAAAACTATTAGCCCACATAAGCGAGTACCCGAATAATTTTTTATGTTTTCCTTAACAGCTGAGCATTTGGTAAATAAGCGTTTAAAATTTCCATTAATACAATTATTTCTAGGTCTAATACTAGTTACGTGCGGTCTTTGAACCCTCGACCCTAGAGTACTACTGTTAAATGCTGAGCCACTACACCATACGGAGATTCCAAATGTCGTGATTTGGAAATTAGTTAAACATACGCTATATAATTATATAGCGTTTTTTTAACTTAAACTCGAGTGTGCCTTTTTGAGGCACTGTGTGTATGTACCCGATGCCTCGGACAGGCGCCCCAGTGATATGAAGTAATTTTTAATTAATTTATTGTCACTTTAACTAACATATTATATTTTAAAACTATTATCTGTATCTAAAAATATACTTGGTTTGCAATAACTAATTTATTATTTTATTATGGGGTATATATTATTATTATTATTAATTAGATTAGGGCCAGAAAATTTTAAAAATTCCATTTATAACATAATATAATAAGATCTATTCCTCCTTTCTTAATATAGCCTAGCCAACTTTAATACGTCACTTGCACGACTTTTTTAAAATAAAATAAAAATTTAAAAAAAAAACAACATACACAAACCGTTAACCTCATCTTGTTTGAACACTATCACTTAAATCACAATTCAATTCCCGGCACAGCGTGCCGACGTATTACGAAGGTATGAATACGCTGCGAGTGCGCAACGTGTCTTATATGGTCTTTGCACATGTTACTTGCACCGAGTATACTGCCGATATTGAGTATTGGCCTCTAAAGAAACATTTTTTCTTACGTTAATACTATAAAAGAAATGAGTTATAATATCGCTAATGCTTATGATATTAATTGTATGTTATATAATTTGTATTAATTGTATATTATTATTATGTAACTCATATAATAATAACAAAAAAAGGTGAAAATTTTTACAGTGTAGAGAGAGTAGAGAGGTGACGACGAGCACACAGTTCACCCGATGGTAAGTTGATGCTATAGCCCACAGAAATTCACATATATCCTCGATTAAGAATACAGATGCGTTGTCAACCCTGACAACCAAGATGAAATGCCTTCTTTCCAGTAAAAAGGGTCTTCGTTTCTCTTTAATCATCGTACAAAATAGCACTAAAAATTAAGCTACTAATTTACGCCTGTATTTGTGTGGTTTTTTCCTAGCTGAAACTGACCTAAACGTTCTACAACCATAATAATATAGCTGTAGCATGATCTATGTGATAGAGGAAATTTGTTGATACCGAAAAAAAGAGTACACAGTACGCGAGCAAAATTATTAACTGAAATTTCAAGTGCTGATTTACTACGTGCTCGTCATTGAAGGAAAAATCGTGAGGAAACCTATATGTCCGAGAAATAAGACAATAATATATTTCTAAGACACGTAAAGTTCGCCAGCATACGTTAGGGCAGCGCGGCCGACATTTAATTGCCCTAAAACCTTCTTAGAAATGAGAGGAGGCCTGTGACCAGCAGTGGGAAGTATATGGGCTGTAAATTAACTTAACTTATCCAATAAAAAGCTATGAAATGGAAAGAGGCAAAATTTGACGCAAGGTGTGCGAACTCTATTTACTAGGTGCTAAGACTCTTTTTATTCCCTATCAATTAGCTCTCTTTTACCTATTTAGCGGTTAACACTGATATTTTACGTCAAATATCAGTGCTTACACCGCTTCGCTCTGGTCTGAAGGGTACAGAGAGCCAGGACAAATATAGGCTGTTAAGTAATTACACTGGCATTATCTATAGTCTAGCTTCACACGTCTGCTCCCGTTCGGGAAGCCTACGATTTGATGGAATTCCACTCCCGGGGAGCCTGGGAGCTTTCGCGTAATACTTCCCTATCTGTCTTCATCGGACGGTTATACAAATACCGCGGGATATATTGTAAATTCCGGGATGTCCAAAATGTAATTTTAAACTATAGCCATGTCAAGTTTTATTGAAATTTATTCAATTGTTACAATTTGCATATTATCACAAAAGAGACAAAGGAGACAAATAGAGAGAAAGATAAAGACCAAAAAATTTATTGGCTTCCTTACTGATAAAGAATTATTACTCAATTACAAACTCCAAAAACATTTAATGTACAGATTTGACTTGGGAACAGTTCTAGCTGACAGTCATTTCGTACAATGTGTACATAGAATTGTTAAATTTCAAAATCCTTTATTTGCCCTTACGGAGTATTTGTTTGAGTTGACAATACACAGAAGTTACAGAGGGTTCGTCCCTTTAATTAACTGAAACAGTTCGTCGGGTCTGTATTAAAACCATTAATTAGAGTCACAGTTGCGTTAAATCTATTATGAGTCGAATTACTTCTGTAAAAGAATATTCATATTGGTGGACATGAATGTGACTTAGAGAATATTAAAGATATTTGTTATGATGCTGACATAGATAATAACAACTAATAATCTTGCGCTCACCAGATGTCTCTAGTCGCGATTAGTCACAGATGGTCAAACACATTATCAATAAAATTTTGAGTTTTTAATAAATGATTTCAGTGTCTAGTTTATGTACATACACTAAACAATGTCTCAGTGGTGTATTCTTTAATTTTTGACACATTTTAACTTATTTTTTTTAAATAATAAATATCTCACCCGCTGTAAGATCTATCAAATACATCCCCTCATTCCAAAATGACGCCAGCTTGGTAGCAAAAAAGTAGTGGATGCTCTCATTGTTATCAAAAAAGGCCGTCAAAAGCATATGAACTATCACATTTTTAACAAACTTGATTTAATATGATCTGACCTAATACTAATTTCGATTTTATACTAAGATGTTGCTATTGTTAACTTTGCCAATGTCATGGCAAGCGTGGTCTACAAATAACCGTGAGTTTTTACCGTGTAGTGGCAATTTAAGAATGACTACTACTAATCATTCCTGGTCATCATGGGTGTCGTAAGATGTGACACAGGGAAACCGAAACAGAATTTGGGCAACATCATCCTCCTGAGTACAACTTAAAACAATAAAACAGTGGTTAGAATGTCCGCCTCCCGAGCAGCGCTAAATAACTATGGAAAATAACTCCCCTTTGAGGCAACCCATGGGGGAGGCCTATATTCAGAAATGGAGTGATGGCTTGATTTTTTATCCTTAAAAAAGTACTTCAATGATACAGGAGAAATTGTACTGTCACTAAAACTCGGTTTACTTAATATTTATCCAAGAAAACTGGCTCTATTTAACAATATTAAGTCAGCAGGTTTAATACTTACACAATAATAGCTACGATACAAGTGCGATTTTTATAGAAGTACTAAACCAACGACTAAAATATATCATTGAAAGAAATCTCCCTTCATAACTCGTAGTGGGAGGAGTATCACACAAAGATGTCACTCCATGTCTAGAGTTACGTCTTATACAAGTGAAGGAGGAGCGAGGAGCGTGTTATTGATGGCAATTGGGACGTCGTATTCAGAGGAAATCTACGACATGTAGCACATTTGTCCCCTTCCCGTTGCTTGCGGTTAATGGTACGTTGTAGTGCATCGTTTGTCAGATGCTTTTGATAAATCATTTGTTGTGTTCAAATGTTTTTCTGGTGACCTTAAAATATTATTTATTGTACTTAATGTTACATGACATCTATACAAATTTTTTTAAGTCGATTCTTTTTTTAAATAATATGGGATTCAAAAAATTACGACATTGTATATTTAATTATCATTGAAACGAATTAGTCTAAAGTTTTAGTTTTCTAGTACAAAAATGTCGAATATGCAATGCTCTTACCTATTTTTTATAGGATAGGGTAACAAACGAGCACATAGTCCACCTGATGGTAAGTGGTTGCTGTGGCCCATAGACATTTACATATATCTTCAATTAAATGGCCTTTTACCACGTATTATTAATTACTTTGTAACGTTGTAGTAGCTACTATTACTTCACCAGCTTTTAAAAATTCACTACTGGATGAGTCTCTTTCGTTATGCCCTCGCAAATTTATAAAATAAAAAGACATATACCAAATAGATCTATAACTTAAATTAAAAAAAAAAACTAGAAGTTTTAAATAAATTATATAACTAACTGTCATTTTGTTATAAAAAATATGCAAATTTTTTGTGGTTTGTTGTATATTTATGACATTAAAAAATATAAAAATAAAAATAATGTGACTAAAATAAAAATGTATAATAGAAATTAAATCAACGAAAATACGTAATAACGACGAAAGAGGTATATATTGATAAACCATTACTAAAGTTAGTTCTAAACGACACCAATTCGCACAATGAGCATCAGCGGGGTCATTATAGTGGCAATACAAACGGGCGGGGCGACCGCCGCCCGCCAGCGAACGCTCCAAATTACGTACGTACGAAACCGGACTGCACGTGCGAATGATAAGGTAATTAGGTAATGAGGGAGAAATTTCGCCTCGCTTCGCAGAGCTAGACAATAAAGCCATTAAGTAGAGCTTTAACTCTAGCTGCGGGATTAGATTCACTTGTTCGTTCGCGGATATTTCGATCCTTCTAGCTTAGTTACTCTAATGACTGTTTTAGTTGTAGCTTATTTCCTGGGAATTACTTAAATATTATCATTGCTTTGCATCTTCTATGTTGTCGTAACAATTATCAAAAGTCTACTAAAAATTGCCTCATAGGGAGGAAAAATAGTTGCAACACGTGGCAGGAAAGTTATTGTTTTTTTTCTTATTACCATGAATTATCAATCGTGTATTCAATAATAGTACGTACATTATCCCTTTTAAACTTTTGATACATAAGAATGCAATATTTCTTCAGAGTTTAGTTCAAAAGCCTATTCATTGCCCCGTGAAGGTATTACTGACCTTTGGAGTCGAGTAACTGGTATTACTAGCTTGTACTTGTTAATAGAATTTACCTAATGTACATCACTATTTTTAATAAAGCTATGTTTGTTTTTGTGTGTATATATCAAATTTTTGTAATTTTTATTTCATTTATTTATTTGCTTTACGTACTTTCCGAGGTACGGATGTGAGATACCGCCAACTTCAAAATTTTAGTCGTAATTAGGAAGGCGATGCTGCCCATCTCTTAATTTGTTTCATTCTGTCGCATCTTACGACACCCCGTATAACATAGGGTAGGAGATATTTTTACATACGTCATTTTTCATAAACAATATACATTAAAGAGAGCAAGAAAGAATATATGCTTATTTTTGAAGCAATACTATTGATACGTGAAAAACTCGTGACTAAACTAGGTAAAACCTATACCTAAAAGTCACCAGGTCTTCACCTGTAGATCTCCGCGGGCAAAGTAGATTAATGTAGCTACTATAAATGGTTTCCTTCGCAATTGAACAATAAAATCAGACGACAGATGTAGAAGTAAAAAGTGAGATCTCCCGCCGGGCAAGGTCCTCGACCTCCATGTGATAATTCGGAGCTGTTCTATATAGTGCAGTAGCTTAGGAACTTTGATAGGGCGATTTAGGCTTCGATGCATTTTGCTTGTGGCTCGACGACAGCGTCGCCACATATATGATAAATACCATGAGAGGCTGAAGTTCATATATATATTTCTTTACATTTTCCTTTGGATTTAAATCTAAATTGCTAGGTA